CCAACAGGGGTCATGAAGTGCTGATAAAACATTGGTCTCTGCTGCTTCTGGACACATTATCCAACTGTTCCAGACTAATCTGATTGATTAGAAACTCCTCTTTAACAACTCCCCTTCCCTGCCCCACCAGGTTCCATGAGAGTGGACGGTTACATAATATTTCCAGCTACATAATATTTCACTGAACATATTTCAATGAAATGCAGACCTTAGAGAACCCATTCAAATTACAAACCATCACAGCTGGTACATGCCAGTTTGCACTCCACACATAATAAGCTATAGAAGCATAAGCAAACGTTTAGGAGATAGACAAAGTGTAACATGGTTGACAGGGGCCAGGGTTGTTTATCTTGTGTCACCTGACCCAAAGGTGCATATTCAAATACATTATAACTCTTTGAGCTTAACCTCTTGTCTAGTGTCACTGCAGCACATAACAAAACAAAAACAAAACAAAGTAATCCTTATTAGAAGACCTCATTTTTCCACAAGTTTAAGATTTGCTGTCCTGCAATATCTGAAAACACAGCTTCTTATAGCTATGCAAGGTTAAAAAAAAAAAAAAAAAAAAAAGAGACATGAACTTCAACATTTTAGCCAACTTTAGTTAAGAATAAGTTATGCTAACATTAGTTTTTTTAGGTCCTCTCAAAATAAGATGAGAAAAACTGGATGACGCTGAAGGTTAACACCATCTGTCCTTATTAAAAATGCAAATGTGCACAGCCAGATGGGCAGTCTACTGAAATGCAGTCATCCTAAATTTTTGTATAAAAGTATCTGATGCACGATATAGCAATGAAGTGGGTTCTAGATTATTTTGTTAAATCAACAGGGACTCTGCACCAAAGGCCACTATTGGGCAAGTTTTTCTGTAACGTGGAACAAAGCTTCCAATAGTATCAGATTTCACTGGCAAACAGAGGTCAAACAGAGCTATATGAATGAATACTCTGAACCAAGTTACATTTAAGATTTATTCTCAATCAAGTTCTCTTAACTTGTTCTTGTGAAACATACCAGTATGTAGTTTTCATATAAGCATACAACGTTCAAACAAATTTTAACGTTTTTTTTGTTTGTTTGTTTTGTTTGTTTTTTGTTTTTTTTACAAAGGACATGGTTATTTCACTACTTAAGAAGACTACAGAAGATATGAATATTCTGTAGAACTGTTTGAGCACCATCACCAAGGATTTAGCCAGTGGTTCTCAATCTTTTTAGACACCCCCATTTTTTATTATTATAGAGCAATTCTTCTGATGCCAAGAACTCAGAAAGACCACACCACAACAGGTGAGAATACTTTTAACATGATGGATTCCTATCCTGTGAATGATGTTTGCACACCTAGCAGTATTAACACTGCATGGTACCCCATGGCATCCCTGAAAGGGTCAAGACACCCTAGGGGAATTTGCATAACTGGGTGAGAATCACTGGTTTAGCCACTATTTAGAAGTTTTAGCCGGATTTAGCAAGTTCTTATTGCTGGCATATTTAGCATCTTTAGATACACTGCATCTGCATGCAACTATATCTGTACTTGATCAGTGTCTGAGTGGAAAAGTAAACATTGTACATCATTTAAAACCTTCACTGCATGCAGGTCATATTGTGTGTCATGCATGTACTGCAATACAGTTTTATAGACTTTTTTGCCACACCTTCATTTTGCACACAACATTTTCAATGAGTTGCTCATTAACTACAAGATGAAATTCCTTAAAAATAAGGAAGTAGCCAAACTAATGTTTCCTGCATAGTCAACTGCAATAAAGCCATATCCATAAAGAGTGGGAAGAGAGCAAAACCTACAGCCTCTTTAGAGAATTACATCTTTTTATCTGAAAAATCTCCTTTCAAAACTAGAAGAGACTATTTATGGACAATAGATCAAAACAGAACAGCAAAAAATGGAAACTACAGGCTATGAAGGAGTACACTGTGAAACAGCATCTAATTGCTGGTTAAATATGCATTCACTCAGCTCTTTATACAGCCTCTTTATTGAGCCCCCAGCTTGCAAAGGGGTGGCTAACCTGCAGCATGCATGGCACAAGCAACATTCCAACCTGTCTCACACAGGCTACCAGAGAGGACACACAGCACAGAAGTACATACGGCAGGGAGCAAAAAGCAAACCAGTTGACTGGGCAGTGGAAAAGGATCAGAATGGCATTTGAGGAGGGTGCGGAGTTAGCTTGTGGCCAACTGCCAAAAAGTCTGGCACCACTGAACTAGCATATTGAATCATTCTTTTAATGCAGCGGTGTTCAGTCTTCTGGTGCTGCATGCTAGATGAGTGATGTGGGTCTGGTCTGTGGATCAAATCCAACACAGGGACAGTGTGTGCAGTTGGTCCACTGGTGCAATCCCGTGTGCTGGCCCAATTCTGCATGCAAACCCAATCTCATACATGATCCAACCCTATGTACCAGATATAGTCACACATGGCACAGTCTATCAGGCAGGGCCATATCATCCAGCCCACAGGGCTCCCCATGTGTTAAGAAGTGTGGCAGCAGCTGAACTGCAATTAATGCTATCACCATCCCTTACGTATTCAGCATCTCTGCATTTCAAAATGGCATTCAACAAGCTTTAAAGTGCCCCTGCCACCGTTTTGAAACATGGGAAACTGAATATACAAGATACTGCAGGTGTTATAACTAGAGCAACTCTGGAGAGCTGCTCTAATTAAAACACTCCCCACCAACCCTAGAGGACATGTAAAAATGCCCTGAGTGTTTACCTGGGTCAGAGACCCTTAGAGGTATCAAGCTTCACACAATCACTAATTACAATTTCAAAGGAAAAAGACACCCAGACATATCTATTGGGCTTCATATGAGAAGGAAGTCTCATACTGAGGAAATCATTTTCCCCTCTTGAATAAAGATTCCAAGGGAAATTTGAATAGGGATTCATAATAATATTATGGCCCTCCTCGACTACAATTAATAGGAAGAACATCCAAGATAGACGGGTGGAAGAAGATCTTCTGCACAATACATACACTTCCCAGAATTAAAGAGAGAAATAAATACTGTAGCAATATTTCCCCACCTTTAAAGAAAAGAGTCTCGTATGCCATGGGGAACTTATGGTCCCCACCTGCAAAAGCTAGAAGCGATCTCCAAAAGCCAACAGGAAGACTTACCAATCAAAATGTTGACTATACTCACCGAGAAGCTGGTGCTAATCCAACCAGGGTGACATTACTGTTTTATCTTTGTATACTCTCCCCAAATTTAAATGCATCACTTTTTCTTATATGACCTCATATAATCAATCTTTTTCTGATTTGCACCTTATGAACTGTTTATCATAAGAGTGATTTCAGCAAAGATAGCCGCCACCCCTTTATCCCTCTTCCTCCCAAGGGCCTCTCTGCCAATTAGTTCCAAGGCGCAGGGCCACATGAAGGGCAACTAACATTCAAGATGGCAGCCATTCCCTTGTCTCCTCCCTGGTTCCCAGGCCTCTCTGCCAATCAGCAGTGAGGGGCAGGACTGCCAAAATACATCCATGAAATGTCTACAGAATTTGATTATGCCACAAGGAACCTGCAAAAATTGGTAAGTCTAACCACAATTTAAGTAGACCTCTAATCTTGTTTTCCTGTGTACTGCATCTGTGAAGTGGTAAGAGTTCTTAGCTTTGCAATGCTCCACAATTTTTAGCTCCAAGCTGGAAAGTTCCTAATATTTCAGTTCTTAGAAGCAATATTTAGATTAAACAAAACAAAACAAAAAAACCCTTTACTTCTTCACTCAGACTCCAGAGTACCTATGCAGTCTGTTTAACTATCCTTCAAACATGCACTATTAAACAGTAAGATACAGAGTTTAAACGCCAACTTCTGGCAAGTATAACCCAACTTTATACGCTGCAGCACAAAAATCGTACCTGCAGTGCCAAAATTCACAACCAAGGCTTACTGCCTTAAGGAGTCACATCACAAGCCCCAGACATTTAAATTAGGTCAGACAAGTTTGGACCGTAAGTGGTGTTCACAAGCCACTGAGTAGAATCACATATTGGGAGCCTCTGGTTTGAAATTTAAGCCAAGTTTGGTGGCATGGTTTCATTGCTTTTTCGGTATTTGTTCATAATAATCTATATAATGCATCTGAGGCTTTGGCACTCAAGTTTAAAATGTTGCCTTTCAAAAAATAAGCTAAGAGCTTGTAAAAAAAAAAAAAAAAAAAAAAAAAAAAA